AGCCCACTTGGGACAAAGAAGAGGATGACCATACAGAAAGCAGTGGTTAGTCACAGGGTGCTGGAACCCAAATGGAGTAAGAAGGGTATCTGCAGAAGGGCAGCCTGACAGAGAGCACCAAAGTAGGTTGAGGAGGTCATCTCCATAGACAGGCAGCATGGCATAGGGCATCAGAACCTAGGCAGGGTGAGGATGGCAACATGGGAGGGTAGGCTGGTGCAGGGTGTCAGAGCACAACAAAAATGAGGAAAGATGCCTGTGAAAGTGCAGCCAACCACATGGTGTTTCAGACTAAGCAAGGTAAGGTGGGTGTCCACAAGGGAAAGTGGTCTGGCACAGGGCACAGGAGCCCAAGCAAGGAAATTCCCACAAAGGGCAGTCAAGCACAGGGTGTGGAAACCTGAGCGTGGGGAGGAGAGTGCCTAGATAGGAGGGTGTCCAGTGCAGGAAGGCAGCCCAACACAAGGTATAAGAGCCCAAGCAGGTGGAAAGAGCATTCGTGTGGAAGTATGACCTGGAACAGGGAGTTGCAACCTGAGCAGAGTGAAGAGGACCCCTACACAGGGAATGACCTGCAGTGTAGAGTCAGAGCCCAAGTAAGATGAAGAGGGTATTCATGGAGGAAGGTGGCCTGACAGAGGGTATCAAAGCCAGAACAGGGTAGGGAGGATGCCTACTGAGTGAGGAGGATTGGTGTGGAATGCTGGAGCCCAAGAGCAGTGAAGAGGACCACCAGGGAGTGGAGGACAGGCGCAGGGAGCCAGAGTGGGCTGAGGTACACAACCACAGAGAAGGGTGCCCTGGCACGGGAGTGTTGAGCCCAGGTGTGGTGAGGAAGGTCATTGCATAGTGAGGCAAGCTAGGACTGGTGTCAGAGTAAAGTGGGCTGAGGAGGGCATTCACAAATTCATATGATGAAATGAGAGGCAACAGGAGATTAGCTGCGTATGGGGAGATCAAATAAGTAAATATATATCTATAAATATGTATTTATAATATATATATATTAAAGATAGTGGGAGCCAGATTTCTCATTATTAGAGAAGGAAACTATGAACTAGAATAAATCCTGTAGTGTTGGACTGAAATTGGACATAAATGTCTGTGTGTGTGTACACACACACACGCACACGCACACACACTCTTTAGCTCTACTTTCCAATAGGGTCTGGGAGCAGTGACATCCCAATACCAATGAGTTCACTTGGCACCCAACTCTTGATTTCTATATACCATTCTTCACTAAAAGGAACCAGGGCTAGGGCCGGCCCGTGGCTCACTGGCTGAGTGTGGTGCTGACAACACCAAGTCAAGGGTTAAGATCCCCTTACCGGTCATCTTTTAAAAAATAAATAAATAAATAAAAGGAACCAAGGCTCCTTGGTAAAATGGTTTAATTTCAGGCTGGACAGGAAAAGTACAAGAATGTTTATGATGAAGACATATGAAAATATGTCAAACAGGAGCTAGCTTGAAAGGTAACCCACTGGACAAACTTGTGACAATTTGAGCATCAAAATAAATATTATCAGGGCCGGCCCGGTGGCGCACTGCTGTAGTGCACCGCTTGGGAAGCACGGCGGCGCTCCCGCCGAGGGTTCGGATCCTGCATGCAGACCGGCCGCTCACTGGCTGAGCAAGCGGCGGGAGCAACACCGAGGGTTGCGATCCCGTTGCCGGTCCCGGTCCGGTGCAGGGGTGACACTGAGGGTTGCGATCCGTTGCCGGACACGGAAAAAGGAAAATAATAATAATAATTAATAAATAAATAAATAAATAAATATTATCAAATTATAATCCACTGAATAAAACAGGAAACCCCAAGTCCATGCTGAGTCATAAATGACCTGAAATTCTGATAAGCCATCTTTAAAAAAAAAAATCTACCATTTTATAGGTAGCAAAGAGAAGAATTGATATTCCTGCCAATGTTGCAATAAACTGAATCTAATATAAGGAAACAACAGACAAACCTAAATTGAGTGACATTCAACAAAATAATTGGCCTATGATCTTCAGAAGTGTTAAGGTCATGAAAGTCAAGAAGACTGAGGAACGATTCTAGACTGAAGGACACTAAAGAAACATGACAACTAAATTTAACAGGAGATTCTGGACTGGCTCCTTTTGCTATAAAAGATATTCATTATTGGTACAATTACTGAAATTTGAATGGGGTCTGAGGATTGTATAGAGACAATTTAATAATGTCCACTTCCTGATTTTGATAGTTACATTGTAGTTCAGCAGGAGAATGCGGAAAAAACACACTACAGTATTTCAGAGTGCAGGGGCTTCATACTGACTACTCTTAAATAGTTCAAGGAAAGATCTTCATACTGTACTTGAAACCTTTCTGTGAATATGAGATTGTTTCAAAATGAAAAAATTATTGAAAAATTACTCTTCAAAAAACAGAAGCAATGGATAAACCTTGAAAACATGCTAAGTGAAATAAGCCAGATGCAAAAAGACAAATACTGTATGATTCCACCTATAGCAAGTACCTAGAATAGGAAAATTCATAGAGACAGAAAGTAGACAAGTTAGGGGGATGGGGGATGGAAAATGAGGAGTTATTGTTTAATAGGTACTGAGTTTCTATTTGGGGTAATGAAAAAGTTCTGGAAATGGAAAGTGGTAATGGTTGCACAAAACATTGTGAATGTACTTAATGCCACTGAACTGTACACCTAAAAATGATTAAAATGGTAAATTTTATGTTATGTATACTTTACCCCAACAAAACTAAGTGGGGGAAAAAAACAGTTTTTTCTAAGTGTTCAATAAGTGTTATTTTATTAGATATAACAATATTCATTTCAAAATTATTTATAAATGTGAACAATTAGAAATTTGTTTATGCACTGGCCAGCTGCCAAAAAAACAAAGAAACTAGCTTATATATCCTACAAGAAAGGAATTGATTAAATAAATTATATATAATTATAGAGACTATTTTAAATGTTGTATAAAAATATTTTCTGTAGCAACACAGCATTTAAAATAGCATTTGAGGGGCTGTCCAGTTAGCGCAGTTGGTTAGAGCATGGTGCTGATAACACCAAGGTCCAGGGTTCCATCCAAGTACCAATCAGCCACCAAAAAATTAATTAATTAATTTAAAAAATAAAATAGCATTTGACTCACCTTTAAGGATTTCTTTAAATTAAAAAATAAAAATAAATAAAAAATAAAATAGCATTAAGTGTATGAAGCTACTTGTCTTTAAATAAAAGTTTGAGCACAAACAGGAGTGGCTATTTCTCTTAGGCGGGATTATACATGATTATTCTTGCTTTTTCTGTATTTCAGGGTTTTTTTATAATAAATATGATTTGCTTTTATAATCAGAAAAATTTAAAGTTATAAAATTATGGAAATCAAAAAGTATATTTGCTTGTCTAAAACCTTGTGAGTGTTCTGCAGGATGGGGTTTGTTAAAGTTGTCAAGAATAACGGGCCGGCCCGTGGCTCACTCGGGAGAGTGTGGTGCTGATAACACCAAGGCCACGGGTTCGGATCCTATATAGGGATGGCTGGTTGGCTCACTAGCTGAGCGTGGTGTTGACAACACCAAGCCAAGGGTTGAGATCCCCTTACCGGTCATCTTTTAAAAAATAAAAAAAAAATTAAAAAATTTAAAAAAGAATAAGGCTTACTTTAAGAGATACCAAGTGAAATTTAGAAGAAAACAAGAGGGTAAAACTGATTACTATGCTAAGAAACGCTTAGTGATCAAGGATAAAAATAAGTACAACACGCCCAAATACAGGGTGATAGTTTGTGTGACTAAAAGAGATATCATTTGTTAGATTGCTTATGCCCATATAGAAGGGGATATGATAGTCTACACAGCTTATGCATGTGAATTACCAAAATATGGTGTGAAAGTTGGCCTGACAAATTATGCTGCAGCGTACTGTACCGGCCTGCTCCTGGCCCACAGCCTTCTCAATAGGTTTGGCATGGACAAGATCTGTGAAAGCCAAGTGGAGGTGACTGGAGATGAATACAATGTAGAAAGCACTGATGGTCAACCTGATGCCTTCACCTGCTATTGGATGCAGGCCTTGCCAGAACTACTACTGGCAATAAAATTTGGGGGGCCCTAAAGAGTGCAGTGGATGGAAGTTTGTCTATCCCCCATAGTACCAAATGATTCCCTGGTTATGATGCTGAGAGCAAAGAATTTAATGCAGAAGTACATTGGAAGCACATCATAGGTCCAAACGTTGCAGATTACATGCATTACCTAATGGAAGATGAAGATGCTTATAAGAAACAATTCTCTCAATACATAAAGAACAATGTGACTCAGGCACGATGGAGGAGATGTATAAGAAAGCTCGTGCTAGTACACAAGAGAATCTGGTCTATGAGAAGAAGCCCAGAAAGAAGTCAAAAAGAAGATATAGAACTGTCCCAAAATGTCCCTTGCCCAGAAGAAAAATCAGGTAGCTCAAAAGAGGGCAAGCTTCCTCATAGCTCAGGAGCAGGCTGCTGAGAACTAAACCAAATAATTTTCTATGACGGTTTTTCAGATAAAGACAATAAATTTACTGCCCAAGCAAAAAATAAATAAGTAAAATCTTGTGATCTTTGTTTTGTTGTTGTTAGGTTTTTGGCATTTTATTATTGCAGTGAAACAGAAAAATTTTAACAAATAGTTTAAATCAAGGATCCTAAATTTATCAAGACTAGCCACCCCTTCACGGCTAAAATTAAATCCTTTTACATCTGGGTTGCTAAAAGATGACAGAATATTTGACAGGGCAAAGACATTTTCCTTAACATGCTGCCTCTCCAGCTCAGCTCCCAATAAAACCACGCAAGTTCAAAGACAACCCACATACTATACATATTCCATACTTTACTCACTCCACTGCTTTTCTCAATTCCAACTCTGATACAAATTAGGTATGTGTTCTGCTGTAAGTCTGCCTGCAGCTGTGCAAAGCTCTCCATCACAGAGGTCATAGCAAAATCAATCAGCTCACCTCAAATGGGTTCAAATTGAAGTAAGAGGAACCAGGACGGGTCAATCTTTCAATCTGATTTTTGGATGTTAGAACCGAATCTCTCTTCTCTATTTGTTTCACCTAAAATTAAGAGGGTTAAAAATTTCATTAATAACATTCAATGATAAATTGAATTTTCTATCTTAACATAATACTCACTGACATGTTCAGCAAACATGTGCAAGATATTTTGCTAAACACTTTGAGGAATAATTACAACAGCATTTATTGAATTTTAATAATATAAAAACTTTACATGTATTTACTAATCTGAACAATCCTATATGTAGATATTACTATTATCCCCATTTCACAAATAAGAAAACTGAGGCTTAAAGAGAGGTTAACTGACTTGCTCCCAATTACCCAACCTGTAAGCCAGAATTGTGACCCCAACAGTTTGACTCTAGGGCAGACAACAATAGGATTCAAAGATAAATAAGTCACAGCCTCCAAAGAGCTCCCACTCTTGACGAAAGAGGTAATTGTGTGTGGTTATACTTCATTTATAACTTTTTAAGGAAGGAAAAATACAATTACATTGAAACATGAACTATGAGCAGCATTAAAAACTGCTATGGGAGGGCCAGCCATGGCTCACTCGGGAGAGTGCAGTGCTGATAACACCAAGGCCACGCATTCAGATCCTATATAGGGATGGCCAGTTGGCTCACTGGCTGAGCGTGGTGCTGACAACACCAAGCCAAGGGTTGAGATCCCCTTACCAGTCATCTTTATTTAAAAAAAAAAAAAAAAATCCTGCTATGGGAAGGAGCAAATACCTCCACCCACCTAACTCTTATAGAGTTGGAAAAATCCCTGACCTAAAGACAATGCCAAGAACACACACCAGATAGTCCCAGGAAAACATCCTTGGTGCCACTGTCAGAATTGGAATACTAGTTGAAATGAATCTCTGGTATGTTATATACCATCTTTATTCCTATAGCCAAAACAAGGTAGGAAAAAATTTCAGTAACATTAAAAAGCCATTCCCGGGCCGACCTGTGGCTCACTCGGGAGAGTGTGGTGCTGACAACATCAAGTCAAGGGTTAAGATCCCCTTACCGGCCATCTTATTTAAAAAAAAAAAAAAAAAAAAAAAGCCATTCCCTCCTAGGACTCCCCTTTTCACTCTTTCTGAAATAGCATGATCACTCCCCCCATACTCTCCATCTTCTTTCCCAGATTTATTTTTACTCATAACACTTATCACTACCTGACACTATACTGTATGTATGTCTGCTTATGCTTTATCTTTCTCTATAGAATGCAGGCTCTACGAAGACAGGATTTTCTCTTCTGTTCACTACCACATCCAACACCTAAACAGGCAGTACATGTTAGGTGCTCAATAAACATTCGTTGATGGGGGCTGGCCACTTATAACACCAAGAGGGCAGCCTTATAACACCAAGGTCACAGGTTCAGATCCCCAAATAGGGCACCCGCAAAAAAAAAAAAATTGGTTGAATGATTGAAGGATCCTTCCTTCCTTAGGTACTATCTCACATCCAATTCAAATAAAGGCTACTGCTTTTTTTTTTTTTTAAAGCTGAGAGATGGTAAGTGAGATAAGTTCCACTATAATTGCTGAGCAGTCATTAGAAGCCCATAAACTTTGGTACCAGGGCCTCAAGACTTTCAAGTGAATTAGGTAGAGTAGGCTGGCCAGTTAGCTGGTTAGAGCGCAATGTTATACCACCACCAAGGTCAAGGGTCTGGATCCCCACACCAGCCAGCTGGCTAAAAACAAACAACAAAAGGACAGACTATAAAGGATGTGCTAGCTTCTATGTTTAAATTTAATACTTTAGAAAAACTACTATGTAACAAGCACTGTTACAAATACCAGAGACTGGGCTAGCCGGTTAGCTCAGTTGGTAAGAGCTTGATGCTGACAACACCAAAGTCAAGGGTTCAGATACCCCCACCCGCCAAAAAAAACCCACAACGAGAAATACAAGAGAGAAAAGATGAATGTGCCGTGGTCCTTAATTTTGAGTACAGCTCACAGTCTGACAGGGAGCAACTCCATTCCTCAAACCATGACAACTTAGAGAGGTCCCATCTTCAGCCTTGTTTTAATTCTAAGATGCTTCTGCTTTATATTTTATGAAAGCCTTTCTTTATAGTAACTCCTCCAATCCTCACGAAAACTCTTGTTTGTTTGTTTTGTTGTTGTTTTGGCCGGTACAGGGATCTATGGCAAAACTCTTGTCTTAATATTAACCCCTGAATATCTGCAAAATTAATGTCTTGAAAGAATTCAGTCCCAGACAGGTTAACTGCCTTGCAAGAATTCAATTTGAGGTCTTCTGACTGACTCCAAACGGCATGCTTTTCTTTCACTTACTCATTCATTCATTTCCTAAACAAATATTTACTGAGTACTGGAGATACAAAGTAAAAGAGACTCAGACCAAGCTTACGCCTGTCCTAACATGACACCAAGCTGTTTCTTGCTCTAAGAACCCGAACAAATTATTTCACCTCCCTAAAACAGGTTCGTCATCTGTAAAATGCGGGTAATATGCCTACTTGGCATGATGCAGTGCCTGGCGTTCGTGAAAGACGTAAATAGCCACTAATACAACTCATTACAGAGAATGTTTTTGTTTAGAATAAAAACGGAGGCCATGAAGGCTAAGTCACCCCCGGGAAGAGCCCAGCCTCTGCCAGTCCCCCGACTCCGGGAACTTGGAGCACTGTGCCCACGCAGAGGGACCTAGTTCGCCACACTCGCTGTCTCCGTGCATGCATCGGACATCGGCCGCTCTTTCGTTGTCAACAGGGATTCCCCAGCAGCTATCAGTGGGAGACGTACACATACCCCCAACCCCCCGCCGCCCCAAGGCTAGCCAGAAGGAGCCGCCCGACGGTCCAGGCCCGGCGGTCCATTGCCGTCGCCCACTGGGAAAATAGGTCCGGGAGGGGTCGCCCCGGTGCCACTATTCCTCCCTCTGGGTTCACCTCACTATAGAAGGTCATAAACGCTTCCTCTGTGCTGCCTCCGCCGCCCGAAGCCCCACTCTCTCCCGAAGCCCCACTCTCTCCCGAAGCCGCCATTTCTCCGGCCAAGCCGCCACGTGACCCTTCTGCGCAGGCGCTGCCCCCATGTGATTCCTGCAAGTCCACCTCTCCAGCCCCGCCCCATTTTGAGCGACCCTTAAAGGGCTCGCGGCCGGCCTGGCAGTTCGAACCCGAACCCAAACCCGAACCCTAACCCTAACCCTAACCCTAGCCCGAACACGAACCCGAACCATAACCCGAACCCTTTTTTAGAACTTGAGGTGAAAGACACATAACATATAATTAACCATTTTAAAATGAACAATTCAGTGGCCTTTCGTACATCCACAGTGTTGTGCAACCACCACGATGTAGTTCGAAAACGGTTTGGTTACCATAAAAGGAGACCTGGTACCCATTAAGCAGTTACTCTCCATTCTCCGTCTTTACAACAACTAATCTGTGTTCTGTTTCTATGGACTTACCTGTTCTGGATATTTCACGTAAATAGAGTCATACAATATTTAACTTTTTGTTATCTGGCTCCTTTCACTTAGCATGTTTTCAAGGTTTATCCAAAATATAGCATATATCAGTACTTCATTCCTTTTTACGGCTGAATAGTATTCTACTGTATGTTTATACCACAATTTGTTTATGCATTCATCAGCTGATGGACATTTGGGTTGTCTCCACCTTTTGGCTACCATGTAATACTGCTGCTATGAACATGCATGTACATGAATTTGAGTACCTGTTTTCAGTTTTGGGGGGTATATGAGAAAACCTAGAAATGGAACTACTTGGGCCGGCCTGGTGGCGCACTGCTACAGTGCGCCGCTTGGGAGCCCGGCGGCGCTCCCGCCGAGGGTTCGGATCCTACAGACAGACAGGTTCCTGCTCACTGGCTAAGCGAGGTGCGAGCGCAGCACCAAGGGTTGCGATCCCGTTGCCGGACACGATAAAAGACAAAAAAAAAAAAAAAAAAAAAAAAAAGAAAGAAATGGAACTACTTGTGTACTAGAAATGGAATTGCTGAGTCATATGGTAATTCTATGTTTAATTTTCTGAACAACTGTCAAGCTGTTTTCCACAGCAGTTGATCCATATTACATTCCCACAAGCAATGAACAAGGGTTCCAATTTCTCCACATACTCACCAACAATTGTTATTTTCCTTTTTTCTTTTTTTTAAAATTATAGCATCCTAGTGCTTAGATGTATCTTTTGCACAAGCTCAGCAAGATCTTCTGCTGGATGCTCAGCCTAGGAGATGATCAAGAAACAGCAGAGAACTAGAAAAAGTTTCTGCATGGCACTTAAAGGTCACCTAGAAACACTGCAAACTATTATCACTAAGTAGTAGACTTATAAGTGATTATTACTTTCATCCTTCTGCTTTTGTGTTTTTCCAAGTCTTCTGCAATGAACATTTGAAAAATGTGCCCAGGGGACATTTCCTTGCATTTAAGTCGTACAAACTAAGGCTGGTGTTTTCCCAACCAAAAGATGATCAGTAAAACCAGTTATACTATTTCATAGAAAACAAAAAAGATTTTTTTATTTTTTTTTGGGGGGGGGGGAAGCAGCTGGTCAGTATGAGGATCCAAACCCATGACCTCGGGGTTATAAGGCTGTGCTCTAACCAGCCAGCCCTAAAAAAAGATTTTTTATAATCATGTATAAGATAAAATAATCTTGCCCAACCCTCTCATCTAAAGGAGAAGAACCTGGCTCAGAGAGAGAAAATCATTTAGGCAAGGGCTATAAACTTCATGAAGGTAAAGACTACTATTGTCTTGTTCACATTTATTAGATGGATAAAGGGAGGTCAAGGCAAAGCCTTCTCTAGACTCCTACTTATACTCTTTTAAACTCCATTGTACCATATTGCTGAAAGTGCAGTTATCAAGTCCATTCAACATATTATTACAGTCCACATGTATTAATTCAGTGCCTACTTGATCAAGGCCCTGATAACTTCACAAGGTGAAAAGAGCAAAGAGAAAGAGAGAGAAAAAACAAAACAGGAAGATGTAATAGCATCACTGCTGACAGAGTGACTAAGGAGGTTGGGGAAGGTTTCTCTGAGATAGTGAAACTTAAGCTAAAACTTGAGTGAAATGTCAGTACAAAACAAACGCTGACATCTCCTAAGAAATAAACACGATTTTATATATATATAAGCCGGGGCATATTGGACGTCGGTGTCCCGGACTTCAGCATCTTAGACATAGCTCCCACATCTTATTGATGATACCAGGCCAGGAAAGAGAAGGCTTCCTTTGGGTTTTTTGTTTTAAAGGTGACCGGTAAGGGGATCTTAACACCTGAATTGGTGTTAACACCACGCTCTCCCAAGTGAGCCACGGGCCGGCCCTAAGTTTTTATTAATAACGACTTCAAGATTGGTATCATAGGGTGGGGATGGACACCATGCCCCATTCTGACGGACCCAGGAGCCGAAATTCCGCCTTCTTGCACTCTCCCAAACCTGCTCTCCAGCTGCCTCCATTATTCTAAAGTCCTTTGCCCCCCCAGCCCTTGATAGCGATAGGCTAGGAATAGGCCCGCCTCTCGCTCAGGATTCGCTGTGAACTCCAAAAATCCCGCCTTCTCTCTCTCAGGATTCGCTACGCCTATGTTCATCCCACCTCTCCATCGAACCGATTGGCTGCTTGGCCATCCTCGCCATTATGAAGTACGGAGAGGCTGACACACCAGTGACGCCAAAGGCGCAGCACTAACAACGATGGCGGTTACAGTCTTGGCTGCGCGGACGCGGCTCGGCGTGTGCGGCGTGAGAGCCATGCAAATCCGAGGCTTAGGCTCGGACCAGGTACGCTGCGGCTGTGTCCTCTGCCCCAGCCCCTGAGCGTGGATCGCATCTTCCCTCCGCACCTTTACCGAGTTATGCAAATCCGAGGCTTAGGCTCGGACCAGGTACGCTGCGGCTGTGTCCTCTGCCCCAGCCCTGAGCGTGGATCGCATCTTCCCTCCGCACCTTTACCGAGTCCCCCGTCTCTCTCCGCAGCCCGAGAACCTCGAGGGGACTGCGGGCGCGGTTCGGGACGCCGGTGGAGCCTTCGGAAAGAGAGAGCAGGCTGAAGAGGAACGATACTTCCGGTGAGGCTCTCACTGAGTCCCAAGTCCAGCCCTAGATCTCCCAGGGCCTAACAGTTCTTAAATTCCAATCGCCCCACCGACCCCTAGCTGGTGCCTTGGGGAGCCCCATCCTCCAGCGGAACCCCGGGCCCCGAACCCATTACACCCCAACATTCGAAGTTCTTACCGTTGCCACCCAGTCCCCTGCGCAACCGCCCCAGGGCCCCCAAACCATTTCCACCTGCGGGTCTCCAGAACTTAACGCAGAGGTCAAATCCTTCATCATTCACCACCTTCCCCTCCCCCTCTCCACGTGAAATTCTCCCTGAGTCGTGAGAAACGTCCCCAGATTCTTCACACAGTGTCTAGATCTGACCGTCCAATACCTGCAGACCCTCTGAGCCTGAGTCCCTCGGCCCTCACCCACCTGTCACACCCTCTACCCTCTCTTTTCTCCCTCACGCGCCTTAGCTTTGCAAACCGCGTGGATTCCTTGACCCTTCAGATCCTCTCAGTCGTTTCTAGACCCCCACGAATCTCCAACTCCGCCAGAGTGATTGGATTGTAGGAGCTGTTAGCACCTCACGGTTGGACTCCACCCCCTTGTGAAGACTTGCCCAACTCAGCCCCACCCAGTCTTTGGGCTGTAGGTTTCTCTCTCATGTTTAGGAATACGGAGTGGGCTGGGCCTATCTATTCCCTTTCCCAGCCCTTAGTTATCTTTAACTGACTTCTGTTAAAAGTCACACTGGGGAGCAGCTAGGAGCTAATCTTGCTTCTGCTTCTTCTTTGGCCTTTCACTCTGCCTTCTCTTAAGAATTATCACCATGGCAACTGCCATACCAGAGCCATACCTTAGAGACCGTCTAATTGGGCCCCTACATTTACAGTTAAGGAAAACTGAGACCTAAATGTGGCCAAACCAACATTTTAATCCATTCCCTTCTTGAGACCTAATTAGAACTGCCTAGTACTGCTCAAGCAAGAGACCCCTTTTTGGCCTTTACAGTGGGTCATGCATTTCTCTAGTCAGAAAACCAAAATTTCTCTAGTCAGAAAGTCAAATTGAGATAGGTAATGGATAGTTGTCCTTTAACCACACCCCTTTGTTTGTCTCCCTCCTTTTGCTCCGTTTTTCCCCCAAAAGGGACTCTGGTTCTCTGGGTTGTTCCTCTGATAGAGTATTGGGGACTTACCTCACACCTCTCTGGAGTTTTCTACTTTGAAGTGGAATCTGAAAGGAATAGCTCATTAATAATGATGCAATTTCAGGTACTAACAACAGGAAAATGGAATCATTCTGGTCATCTCCTTAAGATGGATACACTTTGATTTAAGATGGGGTGTTCTTTCACTAGTATTGGTTGGGGGATAGAAGAGAATGACCAGCCAGAGTCCCATAGGATAGGGACTCCTGTTCTTTGCCTTACGTATTGCAGGTTATGCTTAGAGATCTTTTTGAGGTGAAGGATTGGGATTAAACCCTGAGCCACTGTGTCCTTGTAGAAAGAAGACTAAAGAACAACTGGCAGCCTTGAAAAAACACCATGAAGAGGAGATCAGTCATCATAAGAAGGAGATTGAGCGTCTGCAAAAAGAAATTGAACGACATAAGCAGAAGATCACAGTACTAAAACATGATGATTAAGTGCACACAGTTCCCAATAGAATGGCACATATTATTGCCTGCTTCTGTGTAGACATAGTTCTACTTTATACTTGTGTGCTCCCAACAAATTATAATAAATTGTCATCAGTCAGCTGTGTCTGATGCCTTCTTTCTGGGAGGAGGTAAAGGGACAAACACTACTGGACTAAAATGAATTTATCTGTCCCTGCAATAGAGGGCTCACAGACAATTAAAGCACAGTGTAGTAAGTGCTATGAAACAACACATAGGTGAGGGAGGTGACACAGACAAAGGGCCCCTCACTAGTCTACTTAGAGGTGTTCAGTGAAAGCTTCTTAAAGGATGAACC